AAAGACATCAAAAGTACGTGAATTTGGGACCCAAGACGGCCCAAATTTAAAAATTTGGGCAGTGGAATGAGAATAAAATTCATTATGGAACTGGATTCAGAGTTGGGTCTTCCTACCTCTTTACAGCCTTCCATGTAGTGGAGGATGTCTTGGGTTTGTAGAATGTGTGAGATCTATAAAAATACTTTATTATTTTGAAATGAAAGTTTTAATAAGGATGTTTGTAATTGCATATACTTTATACTCAAATTAGTTTTTTGGGAAAAGTATGTCTCACATGTACTGTTAATTTTTATTTTTCCCCTCTGTTTTCACCATTATGAAGTCCTCTACTTGAAAATATATACTGTGTTGAAGATGAAGCTAACTTTTAGGAATTCATATGAATATGCATTCATGTATCAAATGAAAAATATAACTGGTACATTCACATATTTGTTCACAATTTTATGATTGATATTGAGTTAGATTGAGTTTTTTTTTTTATAGAGAAATGAGAATATTTTAAAAACCCCACTGATACACTAATATATATATATACTGTAGCGAGAAATCGAGAAAATTAGGGCAAAAGCAAGTGGTAATTCCTTGGCGCAAATAAATTTTAGCACTTTCGCTTCTCATTAAATATATACAGTAAAACTCGGTTATAACGAAGTCACGGGGACCACTGAATTTACTTCGCTATATCCGTAATTCGTTAAAAAAAGAAATACGTTATATTTATATAGCTGGGGATCCAAAACAACTTTGTTATAACCGTGAATTCGCTATATCCATGTTCGTACTAAACGGTTTTGTGTATACATAAAATATATAAATGAGATAATTTTTTTCTTTTATCCACGCTGGTATGTTTCAACGCGAAATGTAATAACAACGCGAAATGTAATAAACCTGGATTATTACATTTTGGTTATTCATTTTTTGTCAGAAACGCAAAATGTAATAACGCAAAATGTAAACCTATTTTTAATTATTACATTTTGCGTTATTCATTTTGCGTCGAGTAACGCAAAATGTAATAATGAGCTTTTGCGTTGTTACATTTTGCGTTGTTTTTTTTTCACTAAGACAACCAAAAATAATAAAAAAAAAGTAATAAAACAAAATATTATTTTTTTGATTGGTTTGACAAAAAAGATTATAAAATTCATTCAAAATATGCATATAACCAACATGGGAGACACGCTGTACAAAATATTTAGAACTAAAACAATGAGATCAACGTTAGGGCTTTTACGGACATAAATACTTCAAAATGGATCGTTTTTCTGACTCTGACTTTAGTTATATTGAATACACTGTTCTAAATTATAAAGCCTTCATTTAACTTTGATATATATATTTTTAAAAGTCTTATTAAATTTCTAACCAATAACACAAAATTTATTTAATTACCAAAGATTGACCATAGGTTCATTATTAGCTCTTGATATGCATCTTTGGCATGTGTACATTAGTTAACAAAGTGTATGTGTGTGTCAAGCGAGGAAGGGAGGGATAGAATGGAGTGTTTACTTAGTATGTTTATCATTGTATTACTATGGGCATGCAGAAACAATCCATTTTATTATTGGATGCAGAAGGGGGGGGGGATTTTGGATGTCTGCAATGCTGGTGATTTGCATGGAACAGTATGGAATCACAATTGTCAATAAACCCCTTCGGATATATATTTACACCTGTCAGTACTAATAAACAGGTTTTCTTTTAGATTCGTTGCATTTGTTTATATATAAAAAAAACAAAACAAAAAGAAAAGTACACTGGTCAATATCACCAACAATCCCATCTACACACGCGCGTTTCTAATTTGCAACGTACACCTATTATTTGAATACATTTATTAAACTAATTTTAAATACATTCAGATTATTAAATCAAAATAAAATAAGAAATTCATTAACTGTAAGATATTGCTCATATGATCAGTTTTTTTTTTTCTTTTGTTTTATTTCCTCTTCATCGGCCATTATTCTATAATTAAATATTGTACTCAATCTGGCTGACCAAAGAGTGTGTTATTACATTTTGCGTTCTTGTTTTTGGCTTAATCTCGACGCAAAATGTAACAACGCAAAATGTAATAATCCAATAATCGTGTTATTACATATTGCGTTATTACATATTGCGTTGATCTCGCCGCAAAATTTCGCGTTGTAACACTGGTATTTGATTTGAGGTCACTCATTGACAAGCAAGCAAACACAATAGCACTCTTTTACATAAGTAAACATTTGTCAACTTTTACATGTTGTTGCACATGATAAGTATTGGGTTACAACTAACAATAGTTATACGCCCGTCTTAAGACGGGACGTATTATGTTATAGGCTTCGTGTCCATCCGTCTGTCCGTCTGTCTGTTAGCTTTTTTGTTTCCGGCTCATAACTTAATACTATTAGGCCTAGGATTATCAAATTTTGTCTTTTAATGCATCTTGGGTAGAAGGTGTGTCGCGCACAAAAAGTAGGTCGCTCTGACCTTTTATTAGAGGTTATAGCCAAATATGGAAAATTCTTTCCAGTCCATAACTAGAAAACTATAAGACTTACAATCATCAAACTGGGCCAGTTTATGCATCTTAGGTAGAAGGTGTGTCACGACCTATTTCAAGGTCACTGTGACCTTTGATTTAAATAAAATTTAAAAAAAAAAGTTTTTACCGTTCATTTACACATCCCAAATAATGTAAAGTATTGCACTGTCCTTATAAAAGAAGTGTTAAATCAAGAAAATACTTATTTTTTTAAGCATATACTTGACAGCAATCTATAACAAATATTATGTATGTTAGAGAAATCCTACCTCTCCCATGAGTGTAATTATCAAGCATTGGTCAAGACTCAAGAAGAATTTTGATAACAGAAAATTGCATGTCAAATTAGAGAGAAATTAATGAGTTTTGAGTGTGAGGAACTCGCTGATAGCTAGAGCATGGTGTTCTATATCCCTTGAGTATTGGGCACATGGGTGAGCCTGTTGGATTAAAAATTGCTCTTGTTGGCCATCACAGTTGGCTAGCCTAAGTTTTAAAATGAATTTGATGAAAAGTAATTAAAACTAATTTGATATTGCATAGTAGACTAATCTTATATTATATAAAATTGTTAATTTATAAAAACTAATTTTATGGGATGGGATGGAATCAGCACGTCCATATGAATTTTATATTAAAACCTGTCAGACATTGGATCTCAACCAAAAAAAAAAAATCTTTAAGTATTTTATGTTTTTAAAAAAAATTATGGTAGATAGTGCAGACACATTCATCTATTGGTATTAATTAGTAGACAAGCATCCAGTTAAAGATTATTCAATTTATAGCATTGTACTTTGTTCTTTGATATTGTTTAATATGATGGGCATTTGTCTAACGCAAGCAGCATAGAAATCTATTAATGATGTAATATTTATTATGATTAATGCCTATATCACAGGGAATGGATAAATATTTGAAGGAACGGAAAAATCATGGAAATCTTAGAATCAAGGTTGACGTGATTTTCTTGCACACTAAACTTTTAAAAGAAAATTGTATTTTTTTGACTGGCGTATCATGCTGTGCGCGGCACTTTATTTAATTCATATTTTGGCAAAACTTTTTGATCAATCCCCTACAGTGCGACTGTGTACAAAAGTACAGCAACCCTACAACATAACGTAATTGTGCATTCAAGTTTACATGTACTTCTGGGAATGCACACACACACAAAAAAATATTTAGAAATTCGTTAGCATACAATAAATTTAAGCGTTTGGTGGCTTTTGTGCCAATGGCTCTAAAATTAGTAGTGCACCATATATTCTAGTTTTACAGCATATAAATATTTTAGCTCATCTTATAATCGCATCAATGAAGATAAGTGTATACTCTGATAATAAATTAAGAAAAACTCTTTTTGCAGAGAAGATGTGGAAAACCTTATATTGCAATCTTAATCCACATGAAAGGGAAAAAGTAGGTTTAAAGGAAATAACCAAGGGAGACAGTGTGACTAAACATCTGCCTGAAACAGGACCATGGTCTGTTTCCGAAATGCTTAAGCCCTTGGATAAATCTAGAAGAGGTAATATTATATTTAGTGACATTATTCTAACTTTGACTGAAGGTTGCACAACAGTATTAAATTCTGCTGTATATTCTTTCCAAAAGTGTGCAACTTTGAGTAGATGGTATTTATTGAAATGAAGGATATGGAGAAACGGACAGTATTCATTATCAAAGTCCATAAAACAATACAAAATAGGTGTAGACCAAATATGGACCTACAAAACATTAGAGGTGGGATCAGGTGCTATGGAGGAGTAAGCATCCCCTGCCGACTGGTAACACCAAAACTGCGTGCTCCTTGTCTAGTCATGATCGTGAAATAATGGAAAAATCTGTTGGCAATTCAGTGTAAAAAATTTGAGTAATAACAATTTGAAAACAAACTTCTGAGAAGTTTCGTGTCCTTCGGATGAGACCTTAAAACTGAGGCTCCGTGTCAGCGGCAGGCGTTGGCACAATAAATATCCCTCACTGTTCAATGGCCCTGAGTGCCGAGTAAAGGTAAAAAATCTGAAGCCCCTCACCGGCATACGGTGATGTATCCATATGAGTGAAAAATTCTCGAAAGGGACGTAAAACAATAATTATACAATCAATCTGAGAAGTTTCCTTTTCAGATCTTTAAAACAATTATAAAGATTTAGGTATCGAAAACTTTATAGCCATCAAGCAAGGCAAGGCACACAAGTTTGTCGAAGTTGAGCAGGTGCTTGAAAATCACTCCCCACTCAAATATAGTATATAGTATAGAAAAATCAACACGCCCTAAATTATAATGATTCTGGTCAATACAGGAAGTTTATATATTGTTTTTCATCTCATAGAATAATTCAGCTCCAGTCTAGTGTCAAAATATACCAATGGGAAGGGGAAATTTAAGAATTATTTTGCAGAGCTCCAGATAAGGTGCGTATTTTGCAGAAATACGCATTGATTTTCACAAAATACGCATTGAAAATTAAAACGGTGTACAATTACGCATTAGCAATCGTAGATAAGCATTACACCACGAAAGTACTGCGTACAACAGGTTGAAGAATACAGGTAGGACTTACTTATGATTTGAATTGAGGTTAACTCAGTGTTTGATTTTTCTCAAAACGAAGTACAGACCTAAAAGCCTTTTAGTGACCAGGAATATTCTAGTAATGGTGACGACGATCTCCAATTAGGGAGGAAGAATCAGAGATTTAGATTTAAATCAATTTCTATAAATAGAAAGACTTTGCACTAGGCATAACTTTTATATTGACTTAACGAAAATTCTTTTATCTCGGTTTAATCTTGATACTACATCTTAAAGTTAAATGAAAGAAGAGTTTTCTGTGTCTCTGACTCATGGTAGCTGCAGAACTGTGGCTCTCTGCTTGAGAAAATCCAGACAGATAAAGCAGAGAGCTACAGATCCAAGCATTGTAAAAACCTTTGATTTATGCCGCCGATTTTTTGTCGCTACTTTAGATATTATTTTTTGTAGGTTAATTTTCCTCTGGCTTTTCGAATGGTATCTTATAATTAAACATATATCTAACTCTTATTTTCGATACTTTAATTACCTATTAATGATCCGAAACAGTCCTGTATATAGTTTTGATATGTCGGTTTAAAAAAGTCCAATTTTGAGGCCCATAACCAAAAACAGCCTTTTGTTAGCGTTGAAACACGTGAATTGTGAGTAAATTATGAGGAATTGGAGTTATATGTATGAGGTATGATTGATCATTAAATACTATTTCTAAAGCTGGGGAAAGTATAAAATAAAAGAGATAACACCTGAAGTTAGCGACAAAAAATCGGCGGAGTAAATGGAAAGTTTTTACAACGCTTTATCTGTTCAGCAGCTAACTCTATGGTACCTTGACCTACTGCTAAATCTGCCTTGTAAAAAGAATGCTTCATAAATTTTAACAAAAAGTCTTGTTGGTATTTACAAAATTTATTTAAATAAATTTATGAACTGACCTTTGTAGTTTTTCCCTCTTCAAAAACACATATATTTCGATTACAAGCTCAAATCAAAACAAAGGTCAAAACATTAATTTATTTTTAAACAAAATACATATCTGTACTCTTCAATCATTTTGCCGAAAATCAAAATCTGCATTGATTTCAAAATCAGGGAGTAAATACACTTTGGGGTAAAAAATTATCTGGAGCTCGCATTTTGCATCAGCCATGATTTGACCTGAATCTCAAGTAGGCTTGGGGTCAATTACTTTGAAATGTAATTAATGACTTTCAAATGCATTGATAATTTTGTCAATTACTTGCAATTACAATTACATTGATTTTTTTCAAATATAATTAATTACTTTCAATTACTTTGACAAATGTAATTAAATACATTTTAATTACTTCGAGTTTTATTTTAATAAAAAAAAAATAAAGATTTTTTTTAAATAAAATTTTTTCTATAGCGATCGAATTCGAACTTTCATTCAGTGTTTTTGTTCTTGGGTATGATGGGGTTTTACACCGTAAAATTAGACCTTTACCTTATAATGAGTGTGACACACTGTTAAACAAATAAAACATTATGAGACAATTAATTATTGTACAAACACAAGCCCATGCTACATCAGTATGGTGTATGGCAAAATCTTTTATGTTACTTTTTCAAACCCATTTTTTTGAAGGAAATAAATAATATCTATCACAATTCCATTCATTATTTTCTATCTTAAAATGAACAGAATAGAGGTAAATCAAAAAGGGGATGTAGTTAGTCTAATTGCTGTAAAACAAATTAACTATCTAAACAATCATTGTTATTTGCAAGTGGGAATAGGGAGAACTGGGGTTTTTTTAAAAAATGGGAATAAGTAAATACCCACCAGTATAAAACTATGTATCGTGAAGCCCTTTTTTAAATATAAACTTTCATTTTGAAAAAAAGTAATTGAAAAGTAATTGAAAATACATGATCTTTTTTGAAATGTATTTAAAACATTAATTACTTGTAATTGAAGGCTCGCTCAAATACAAAATACTTCCAATTACTTTGAAAAATGTAATTAACTAGAGCCGAGCTCGTTGCAAAGCAACGAGTAGGTTTCCCGTTGGAGCTGTGGACAGGAAGTACAGACCTTGGGTCAAGGTTACTGCACTTTCTAATGTGAACAACCTTTCTTCTCAGTATGAGCGTCCAGTGAATCTTAATTACAAAGTTATACTTAAACATTTTTTTCTTGTCAGTGACCTTGATTTGCCAAAAAGTCCTTTTTTTGGGGTCTACACAACCTCCAATCATAAGTAATCTATGTTTCAAGAGCCTCCAATGATTTTCACTTACTAGTTCATAGCGTGGAAAAGAAAAGATTTCTTCTGTCAGTGACCTTGATTTTAACAGAATAACCTTGGCTCTTTGTCAAGACAAACCCTCAATCTGAAACAACTTTTAGAAATCCATAACCCTGACAGGAGTTTTACAATTTTTCTGTCTTTGGGCCCCTAAATTTGTTAAAATGACCAATTTTAAGTCATCTGAAAACCAGCGGACTATAAGAATTTGTATCAAGTATGGACTTAAACAAATATAGTCAGAATAAAAAAAAAACTGTTTTCTGAGTCAAAATCGAAAAAAAAAAACCTTTTTTGTCACAAGCAATCTCTGTATCAATAATTAATTTTTCGATTACATATAAATGAATGCAACAAAACATTAATTCTTTCTCCAGTGACCTTGAATTTGCCGTACTATTGCCTTGAATAAATACAATGACACATCCTAACATTGAAATCTTTTTATCGAGTACAAGCTTCTGGTTTCTTTATGTTATAGCCTGACCTTCTGGGAAAGACTTGAAAGGGCAGACGACTATGGACATTAAACAGGCCTTTTAAATTTCCCAAATTCCATCCACACTACCCCCCCCCCCCAAAAAAAAAATATAATACACAAACACTTTGCAAGGGAAAACTCTAGTCATGATCTGAAAAAAGTAATCTTTTTTATATAGGAAGCTTTCATAAATATGGTTTCTCATTCTTGCCCTGAAGTTCGTAAGAATAATACTTAATAAAACGACCCCTTCTTTTTTTTTACTAACCGTTTTCTTCATTGTTTTATTTTTTTCTCCCAAGGCCGCCCGCATAGCGCAGTGATTAGAGCGTCTGTTTATGGTAGCGAAGTAAGGAGTTGATCCTTACGTCGGGGTTCGAATCCCACTGTGGGACGTGGGAGTCCTTCCGATGAGACCGTATAAAACAAGGTCCTGTGTCGCTTTAGGTGCTGGCAAAAAAAAGATCCCTTCCTGCTCAAAGGCCCTAAGTGCCGATTATGAGACAATTAATGTTTAACTATGGTGCTGGTTATGATTTTAACATTTTAAAATTTAGGTCATAAAAGTGTGTAATTACATGATAAGTTTGTGATATTCAGTAGCTGCAGATTGTTGTACATGTATACACGTTCTTAAATTTTCGATTCCGTACATTACAAATACATCCTTTAATACTACTTACATGTACATTGTATAACCTGCTACTAATTTTTAAAATCACGGAACAAAATTAAAATGTTAGCACACTATACTAATCATTTAAAGGTTTTGAATAAATGATAAAACAAATAAAATTCATTGCTTTAAAATCTTGAATTTTTTTTTCAACTTGACTATTCAACGTGTAATATAAATAGGCATTATGCAGCACAGAAGTCACTTATGAAGTTTAAACGTGCCGGAGATACTTATCGATGTTTATCCATTTCATTGAGTAAAATTCTGAATAGATCCTTATGATTCGGAAGATTTTCTTTAAAATTTAAAACTGAAATAGCCATGGTAAAAATCTGTGATGAACAAAAATGTGTTTGGGAAAATTTGTGTTGAAAACGGATTTATTTGTGTGTTAAAAACGCAAATTAAGCTGGTGCATTTAAATCAATATTGGTTGAAGTAAAGTAACCGCAGATTGCCAGTCCTTACGCTATGAATCGTCAAAACGAAAGTAAAATTGCACATTTAGCTAACGTACTATAAAAATTGAAGACTGATTAATGTACATGTAAAATAAATCCCCCAGCGTTTAGTTCTAAAGTCAAACCTAAGATTTTTTAAAAAATTTTTTAAAAGTTTTATTTACTTACAGAAAATAATGTTTTCCGAAATTTTTAAAAATAAGATTTAACATTCGACCACGCTGTGTAAATTAATGTCAACAAGCGAGGGAAAAGAATGGTTGGTCGCGTAATTGTAAACAAACACAAAACCAAGATAGCTGTTTCAGATAAACATGTATCACGATCAAATTTAAACAAGATAAGCCAACATATTATATTATATGAACATATTAATCTAAAATATCCGACAATAAAAATTTTCCATTAATTGTGAAATGGTTTTAATACACAATCATTTTGCCTATGACTGCGGGGTTAAAGGTTCGCCGCGGGGTGTCGCTTTAGATTTTCTTGGACGCGTGTAATCGCTAGATTACGCAATGGTCAACACACTTAAAATCTGAATTCCAGGTGAATGTAGAATAGCGCAGTCAATAATTTTTGTATTATTTGACTCTTTGAAAGTTCTTTTAATGAGATCCGGGCGTGTATGGTTTTCGTTCATATTGTTTGTTTCTAACGGGAAAAAATACTCGTGCTTTTTTCTAAACCTCTTTCTCTTGGAAAGATCTTGATTAATAAAGGAAAATGATGCCATTGAATACTCTGAACGGGAACCAAAGAACACGTTTAGAACCTAATTAAATAAGAGATATGATACAGCATTGTAAAAAATTTATTACTTACGGCAAATTTACTTCAATTCTGCGCATAAAGACTACAGAGTTTTCCTTCAATAGCAAGATGAGAACTGTTAGCTTTCTTTCCTATAATACGTAAGACTCAAACAAAATAATATTTTCATAGGACAGAGATAGTATTAAGATACAATTTTTATATATTAAAAAAATGAATTTAACCATTCTGTGTTTTTATTTGTGATAGCTGTGGGTGCTGGATTACCTGCCGATTGGTTCCCAGTGACCACTTTGCCCCGCGCTATCGAGGGAGGCGTGTCAAACAAGGTGAATGTAATCGGAAAAACGCTACCTGTTTACCTTGCCTGCTTATGCAATATTCCCGGCATAATCGAACAAAACAGCATTTTCATCAGATCAAAAAGGTGTAAAAGAACAATTTTGTTCGTAAGATCTAGATCGAAATATTTACCGTTTTTGAGTTATAAAGCAAAAACTTTCAAGTTTCATAGAGCCCTAATTATAGGGGCCAGCCCCTTTTTAATATTATTAGATGAAAGCCCTTGCAATTATGCACAACTTTTGTTCATTATGTCTTAAAAAAATATTTTTAGTTTTCAAGATAAAAAGGAAAATATGTGTAAATTTTCGTTCTTTTAGGCGTTCTAATTTTTGACCCCTATATGGCGCCATTGTTAATACAGAAATCGAAAAACAAAAACCGATGTGCACAACTTCAATCCTTCTGTTACCTAAAATCATTAAAAATTCTGCTTCAGCTTTTGTGGTCTCTGAGCCTTTATCCGGAAACCAAAGCCTATAAATTTTCGTTTAAAGGGAAATAACTCAAAAACCCGGGAAATGACTTTTTGAAATTTTAGTCAGCATTCTGGTAGAGTTTATAAACGTCTATAACGTCTAAAATTTGAGCGAAATCCGTTGAGAAATGAGTGAGATATAACCTCAAAGTTGCGGTCTAGGAAGTAGAAGAAAAAAAAAAAATAATAATCTTTACCATCAGAATCAGAGAAGGTCTTCCGTTGGAAACGGAAGACCTTAATTACACTCAGTTACAATTACTTTATTCAATTACCCCATCCCTGTCTCAAGTGTTGTGACATGAGTTTTATTGTTTGATTGCATTTTGTTGCTATTTGATACCAATGCATTATGTGAAATCTTGATAAATTAGATATTCATACAATTTTTATTTTCAATTAAGATATCTAATTTATAAATGGGAAAAAAACAAGGAAAAGCTTAACTAAAAAAACAGGTTGATTTGCAATTGTGTGAACTAACCAGATTTAGTTTATTTCAGAACGCCTTAATTACATTGCAAAGAAGATGTTTACTGATGTTGTGTGTCTATATTTTGACTATGTTGATGAGGAGTCACAGCTGTCACCTATTAAGGTAGCATATGACATAACATTTGTTGCACGGAGCCGTGATCATGATTTTGTGATCATGGAACTCGCAAAAGACAGTCATTGTCCATTTCCAGAAAAGATGTGGTTACAAAAGTATTATATCCGCAACCAAAGCCAAAAAATCATTTTAGTAGGGCATCCAAACGGGAATGTTGCAAAGTGTGATGAGTACAAGATTATCGATGAGGATGATTTTAAAGAATGGAAGTCAAACAACATAACTCATTTCAAGGAGCAAGATTTTAATGATGACGTCATAGACAGTATGAGAGCCTTCAGTGCTCAGAAAAGAAAATATTTTTCCATGCTACATATAACATGGGAAAAGGCTGTTCTGGAGGGCCAAATTAATAGTAGTCTGAACCCAAAGGTTATTGGTTTTTACCAAAGTGGGCTGCCTGTTGCTTTGTATAATAATTACAGATGCGAAGATGCTGAGAAAATCAAGGAAAATAAGCCAGATGCATTCATTGAAATGGGATTATCAACGGAAGTTATTGCAGAGGTTTTGAGTACTGATGAAAAATTCTCATACCTATTGGAAGATATTTTTTGAATTGACATTTATCTGAAGAAAAATTTGAAAGTCTAGAGAACATGAGCATATGGTCATTTGTTGTGTATTATATGTATTTCTATATAACAAACTTCCAGATAAATGTGTTCAGTAAGTATAAGAATTGGTGAAGAAAGACAAATCTATGTGCAACGAAAGACATGTACAATTGCCATTCAAAGCCCTGTTTGCCCTTCAATATTCTAGTACTTGTTTCATTTCTGTTTATGGAAGTCTGTTTTCACTCTTTCTGTACAATATTATATTTCTCCCTTTTTTCTGATTATCTGTCTTGTAGCATAAATGTAGATCTGTCATAATGTGCTTGTTTTTACTTAATTAATTTATTCTGTATAGGAATATTCCATTGCTGATATGTATCATACTTTATTACACTTATACATGTATTCTGACATTATCATGCACATACTTTAAAAAGTCGAATGTATATGGATAAGCATAAAATTCACTAGTTTTTCCATTATCATTTTCCTTTTATGATATATAACAAACAATATCGGTGCATTGATAAAGAATGTTACAATGTAAGTAATTGGATGAAATTGGTACCGATGTATTTATGTGTTCAACTTAGTCTTTGATGATGTCACAGAAATGCTTGTAAATTATGACGGTATGAAAGATACCAATATGCCAAAATCTGCTTATAGTTAATGTTGAAAGATGGTTAAAACACATGAAGATTTCATTTAAAGTGTGTTTATAGATGTGGTTATGTGGTTACACTTAAAGTGATAATAATTTCTGTATAACCTTGGAGAGGTTTTTAAAGTTATTAAAGGTGTAAAAGGTATAACTTTTACCTGTTTTGTTTCTGGACTTTTCTTAAGTCGGGGTCTAGAATTACGCTTTCCCGTTGCCCGGGGTGAGTAAAAATTCGTACGGGAAAGTACGATCGCGGGTCATGCTCACCCGCTCGGGAAAGTAAAAATAAATGACAGTAGACACTTATGTTGTTGAAAGTTGTTCTTTTCACAAGTTTTGATTGAAAATTGATTTGAATTTACTTAGCTAGTAAGTTGTGTGAATCGGTATGAAGCGTTTCCCGTCAAATTCATGTACATTATCACTACCGGAAATACTTGTTTGCTGTATAAATGAAAAACCGAAAACGGTACACTTTCTATTTCCCAGGAATAATTGAATGTGATTTGAGGGATATACCTCTTGAAATTTTAATGATTAAGGTTAGAATGAACGAAATAAATGTTTTAATCCACTGAACAATAATTTTTACTTTGAAAGTACAATTCAATATAGCATACAGTGTATTTAATATATCTATATCAAAAATACAATGCAATATAGCATATTTATATTTGTAGTATATCAGAGACATAAATAGCATAAATAATTTAATTTGAGGAAAATATTCACATATTTGAACCATGTTGAAAATGCTAGCCTGTAAATGCCAGAATATATAAACATAACATCAATAAATCTTAAAACTTGATTGTTTCATGTTTTTGTTGGGCAAGTGAATTTTTAGGCGGCAAGTGAAATTTATTCTGATTTACTTGCCCTTGGGCAAGTGAGTTATAATAAAAAAAATTCTAGACCCCTGTAAGTTATTGAAGTTTTGTATTAATTGAATCACTCTGCTGCCATAAACTTTTGCATGTTTTGGGGGAAATATTTAGAGAGTCGCATCCCGGAAGACGAAAAACATTGATAGTTGATTTTTCTAGATTAATGTTTATATTCATTCTTATTTTGAGTGTGGTATGTGGAGTTATGATATAATTTTTTTTTATCTCGTTCTATTTCATGTTTCCTTATCTTTTAGCATAGAATTATTTTTTAACATTGTTTTGCTTTCAAGTAAGGTTCACTTTTGCCTTATTTGGCCCTTGAATTTCTGAAAAACTGAAACAACATAGTTTTGGTTAACAATGCATTGAATAATCCCTTATATTTGGTGATTGCGTATCTATCAAAAATGACGTAATTTTCTGGCTAGTCAATGCATTATGACGTCACGAAATGCGTCAGTTTCCACATATTCTGAAAAAGTCATAAAATCGGCCAAATTTTAAAGCTATTTTTCGATATTTAATATAGAGCGCAACCTCTGATCTAAAAATGCAACTAGTAAATGATAGAACTGTGTCTGAGGTTTAAAAGACATGTTTTATTTTTTAGACCAGAGGGTGGTGTTATTTTATTTTTCTTCACTAAAAATAGACAATAACCTGTTTACAATTAACAATTCAAGAACATTGCAATTTCATTTAATTTTACCTTATAGAATGAAAAATAATTCTATCTGACTGAACCAGTTTAAGTTTTTCGGTTATCTCTGAAAAATTATCCATTTTACATTAGTTTTATGTTTCCCATCAGTTTAGAACTTATTCATATGAATGAATTTTATGTACTGATTTGAATGACTTGAAAATAAACCTTTTTAGATGGAATGGTGTTTTATTAAGGTCTTCCGTTTCCAATGGAAGATCGAACTGATTCTGTTGGTAAAGATTATTATTCTTTTTTTCTTCCTGTTTTCTGACACTCGCAACTTTGAGGCCTCATATCTCTGTACCTATTTCTAACGGATTTCGTCTAAATTTTCAAGAGGTTAGGAACGTTCTCATAAACTCTATCAGAATGCTGACTAAAATTTCAAAAAGTCACTTCCGGTTTTGAGTTATTTCCCTTTAAACGAAAATTTATAGGCTTTCGTTTCCAGACAAAGGCTCAGAGACGGCTAAAGCTGGAGCAGAAATTCTACTGATTTTAGATAATAGAAGGATTGAAGTTGTGCACATCGGTTTTTGTTTTTCGATTTCTTATTCAAAATGGCGCTATATAGGGGTCCAAAATTAGAACGCTTAAAAGAATCAAAAATTACTCATATTTTTGCTTTTTATCATCTTTAAACTAAAAATATTTTGTCAAAATATATAGAACATCATTTGTGCAGAATTAGAAGATCTTTCAAATGATATGTTGAAAAAAGGGCTGACCCCTAAATTAAGGGATCTAGAGGGGCCAAAAGTTTTTTTCCAGATATCTCAAAAAGTATTGAGAATTTGTTATATCAAAGATGCAAAGTTGTTGAAAATGTCAAGCTTAATCTAATGGAGTCGTCAAAATGCGTCCAGCGTCGTAATTTCCGAAACCGGAAGTAGTCGGAAAACGCGTATTTTTGTCGTTTTTGACAAGTTTTTTGCGTAACATATGTCTCTGGAGCTTAAAAATTTATTTTCCGTGCGTCGTTGTCACTTCCGGTCAAACCGGAAGTAGAACGGATTTTTTTGCATTAATTAACATAGCTTTAGAGGATTCAAAGCATTTTTTGGGCGTTATTTCTCATTTTTTGTTAAAAAATGTAAGCTACTTCCGGTCAAACAGGACGGAAGACCTACTCGTTGCTTTGCAACGAGCTTTGCTCTAGTTTGATTTCAACTTATTGCTTTCTTAACTGACACTGACAAGCTGAATGAACAAATGGAAATGATAAACAGTATTCAAGCTCAAAGTCCATAATTTCTGCGTTTCATTTAAGAATTTTCCCACCGATACTGTTAAAATACCGAGAAACGTTTTTCCTGCTTAGTAAACCAGTTTGACCCCTCTGTCAGATTCTTCATAAACTCGATATCTTCAATGGACAGGTATATATAGCAGGATTTTTTGGTGAATGTAAAATTTGATGTTTGCCTGATCAAGGCAAGTCAATGACTTTGGCGAAATTTAACTCGCAAAACACAGGGTTTCCACTCTATGCAAATTAACACTAGGAAATATACTGAATATTTTAGTGATTGAACATTTAGAGGGCTAGACTATCGAAACGGAAAATTAAGAAAAAAATAGCGCCCCGCTGAACTAACCCGCTAATTATAGCATGTGTTAGGCAAGTCTATATTAATTTTATAAAATAACTAGGAAAAAAGTTGGATTTTTTTAGACATTGTTTCTGGTACTTTCGTTATACATAGTAGACCTGCTTTAAATCCACAAAACAAGAACTCTTTCCTTTCTTATATGACTTAGATGTCACTTAACATATTGTTTTCTATCCCCTAGGTTGAAATTACTTTCATGTCTGTTTAGAAGAAACACTTTAGAATCTCCTACTGTACTCTTGTGTATCATGGCCAGCTCTTACAGAGCTCATACCGGTATTTTAAATCCCTCGAAAGCTGCTTAACTTATCATGTTCACCCATGCATCCGCAAAAAGTCCATGTATGGTATATCGTGTGAAAATAATGCCTGTTTATAAAATCACCAAAATTATTTTTTTTTCAATTTGGTCAAACATGAAGGTTAAAGGATCAAATTGAGGTCCAGGGGCCAAATCGTTCACTTGAGCAACTAGCTAGGTAAAAGCGAAAATTCGTAGTATTCAGTATCAAAATTTATAAGGAAAGATAACATTTTTGAAAAGTTAGGCCAAACTTCTAGGTCACAGCTACATGTAGGATTAACATTCACAGTTTTTAGAAAGACGCTGTTTTAGGTAACACGCATTTATAACATGAAAGCCACATCTTATCTTGAAACAAATCTGTGACCAATTGAGAGTAATGTTAAAAGTTTTGAAAAAGAGGTAAGATTTCAACGTCACGGGGTGAAAATTTATTGTACACTTCTAGTCACAAATATTGTACATGTATATGTATGTAAAATATGAGAGCAGTATTTGTTCTTGGTCAAATGTTATGACCAAGGCGTCAAGTTTTGTGACAGATTGATAGACGAGCTTTAAGGTTCCCTTGCTTTTGATATTTTTTCTTCCTCATCCTCTGTGCGTTTGCCTCCACAGAACTGTGAACAGCAGCAACCAAGAACTCCTATGCATATAAAAACCGTAATAGAAATTACTCCAATTTCTATATACTTGAACCAAACCGGGATCAAAAATGGTCTCTTCGCGATGTTCTTTCCGAGTTGAATATTGAGTGAGTAATTCTTCATCTGAGTTGTAGACATGTTTAACTTCGTAATTACTGATGGTCTTTTTGTGGA